ATTAATTTCAAATTTGGGAAATGTAAATAAATCCCGTTCCAAATCACCGATATCGTCGAGGTAAATTTATAGGGCTGTTGAGCACGTTTGGATTTCCTGTACGTTATAGACGTTTATAGTCAATTAACAGAAGATATATGGTAAGTTCTTCCATGTCTGTATGGTTTTTAATTATCCTTAGGCATACATGGTTTACGAACAAAATAAGCATCGTTTGTGGTCGCGATTACCTCAATGATCTCTCGCCAAATTTTGCTTACTGATTGAATATGGTACAAAGGTCATAACTTTGAGTTGGTCTAGATTATTTATGGTAGATTTTACATGAAATTATGGAATAATAACAAGAGCGCAAAATTTACAATTAGCATGGATTATTGGAACCTGCGACTTCCGAACAAATAATATACTAGATTTTGAATATTTGTTACGACATAGCAACAAGAATTTATAAATTATTTGCTTATTCCGGGAAGTAATACTGAATATTGAGGTACCGAGGCATCAGGTGGTGCAATTATTCGTGACGTAAATAACAAAATAGTGCCAATATCAGTGGGAAATTAACATGGGCAAACATTGAGTATGTGATATTGTTTTCAATAGAATTGCTATAAATAATAACATAATTGCCAGAACGAGAGTCAATTTTATATCACACAGAGATATTCAGAACGCAGTTCCATGTAAAGGTTGCACGTCATTAACTTTTGTAATTTGTGGGGAAGGATTTTTGAAATTATTAGGCCAATAAAAATGAAATCATGGTTCATAGTATAGATAACTAGAACTAATTTGCTTCAAAAATTTATCGAATATTTCACAAATGAATTATTTTGTTGATTCCGTTGGACAACTGGTATGGTGCCTGGTATCGATTTTATCTTTGACAAATTTTTGTGAAATTTATAATTTTTCTGTTACAAACTGAATTTAAACAAAATATGCTTTGGCATTATGTAGTTCCAAATTATGATCAGACGTCATGTCTGAATGAGTCCCGTATCATTCGGTCTGCGGTAATGACCACGCTACGCCTTTGATAAACGATACTTATCACTATTTAGTATCAGATTACATCAATGTTCTTTTTCTCTAGCTTTTCAATAATTTTATACCCGAATTTTCCACGAAAACCTAATTTTGTGAAACAAAAATAAATGTTGTTATCTATCACACTAGGACAGTTATAGTCCGTTGAGACCAATCACGGCAGTTATATCTTATTTTTGAATTCATTGCATCAATATAAAGGAAGGGTCTTTACGTCCGAATGTTGTTTTAATGACCTAATGACATACTGGCTAGTATTCCGCATTACATCACATATATAAATATAGATGCCTCGCACATTTTCGAAGCAAAATATATGACTTTTGCATGGGTTCATGGTAACATTACACTATAATAGAAGGTGCATTAGAAGATAATCTTATTCACAAAAAGACATTTGCACCACACAGTGAAATTATCCCAAAAATATAGTTTATATTTTGCAACGAACAATGTAAACGTTTGTAATATTATGCGCATTTTATCTAAATTATTATGTCTGTGCCACTCGGTTCAAGGCCATCGTGTTATCATGAGATGTGATGCAATGGAAACCATGCAATTTCCAACTTATGGTTACTGGAAACACCTCTATGGTCGAATCCACGGATAACTTTCTTGTTTAAGTATATTTATTTATTTGCGACGATAAACAGGAGAAAATAAAAATTATGCGAAAAATTTGCATGTGGTATTTGCCTTTTGGTTTACGTTGCATTGCAAAGTTGAAAAACTGTAGGAGTATGAACATTCGTTATGAGAAACGCCTATAATGTACAGAGGTCTTCAAAATACCAAAGTGAACTCAAAGGACTGAAACAAATGTGTGGTATGACATCATGATAAATGTTATTGTTATCTAACAATGATTGCAATAATTCAAGAGAGGTATTTTATAATTTTGTAAATTTAGGTACGATAACAATGAATATTTTTGACAACTGTAAATAAATGTAACTCGAAGTATAACCATCAAATATTTGAATGAAATTATGATTCAAAATTTTTCGTGCTAGTCAAGAAAATCCGGTAATAGGTTTGTTGTTTGCATATAGTGTTGCAAAGCAATTGAAGTATTTTTCCTACAATTAGTTTGTAAAACAACATATAAAGTTTCGAGGAACAAAAAATTACTACTTTACTACTTTTGTAATACTATTGCAAGGCAAAGCAAGATTACCACTTAAAACAAGCTTTTTCATCAATATATCAAGGATTATATACCCATTTACATTTATGAGGTTTGAGAATACAAAATATGAAAACTGATATCTTCAAAAAATTGTATCATAGTTTCAATATTCACATGGTCGAAGCAATGCAGCAAATCATCTAATGAACTCTTTTCTATTTGTCACACCAAATGAGTTATACAATTTTATTGCGAAAAAATATTTTCCTTGTTGTAAATATAAGTCAAATTCCAAAAAAAGATAAGTTCAGAACAATGCCAAATTGACATGTATAAATACAGCTTTTTTGATGAAGTAATAAAATACATGTATGCCTTAGACTAGAACAGGTCAGTTCTATCGCGTCGAGAACGTTTTCAAATAAAAAAAGTTACCAATATGACGTCAAACGTAACGTCACTAAAATATTTACAAAAAAAAAGCAAAAACATGTCGTTTTTTGACTAATAGTGTGAACATAATCTGCATAAAGACAAAAAACCCACATTATATTACAATTCGTGGTAAGCCATATCTTGAGTAGAAAATTATACTTTTGATTCGCCGATCTATTTATTTACATTAGATACCTGAAGTTTAAGACTATTTTTCTTCGTGATCATTACGTTAACCATAATTTTGGATTTGTTTGTTATCTCTGAAATAGCCTTAATAATTTGTGACCATCCTCCAGCAGTAACAATAATATAAAAATCTATTAACTCAATGGCATTTTACAGTCATTCGCTGCTTAATTCGTACTACACAATGTTTTTTTATCGCATAGAAAACTTTTTCGAAAGATTCGGAGTATCTATGCTGATTGAAATAACCCACTTCAATCTAAAAAATTCTATAAAACCTACAATATCATTTATTTGTTGTTTATATACTTATTTGTCAGGCTTGTTGTTAAGTTTTTGCGAATATTTATTTTTGAACAAAATTATATGCTACATGAGCAAAGTTATAAAATAGATATATCCATTCAGTTTATTTACTTTTTCATAGTATAAATTTTATTCAAGAATGGGCGGTTTTTCAAACTTAAATTTTATCTTTACCTAGAAAATCAAAACATTTTGGTTCAGCGACTGTGTTACAGTTAAGGCTATGCAATTTTAAGGAGAAATGTTCCATTACAAGTTGTTATCCATATTATGTGTAGTCTAGTTGTAGCAACCAAACTTGTTGAGTAGTTATTCATCGATATCATCTACTATACATTGCTGACTTTATTAAATTTAAATTATGAGCTTCTTTTCTCTTCTGTATGCAGAATTTTTTATTACCATGCATGAGAGAAGACAAATGCACACGATTTTCATTTGTCTCCAAATTTGCATGAACTAGAATGAAAGATTTTTTATTATAAAAGTCCAGATCGTTTGCAGAATGTCGATCAATCCGTGATATTGTCACTCAACACATAGATTGGCCCGGAATTAAATATTTCAGTTAAGACTGCAGACATCTTAAAAATTTGCTTCACAGATTGATAACAATGGACAAACGTCGAAAATACGTCACACAATTGCTAAACAGTCAGGATCAAATTTCGAAGTAGCTTTCTTTTCAAGCGGCTTAGTATTAAATTTCAATGGTATGACGCCTGTCTCCAGTGCGTCATTACTACAGAATTTTCTAAGGGAAAAGTCCGGTTGTCCAGCCAAAAAACCGAGACTACACGCAGGGAACAAGGACATCCACAGATGGGCGTCTCAAAAATTTTTTTATTCCGAAATTACAAAAAAAATGATCGCGGACATCAAGTTGCGTCATACATTGAATTCTACTTTGCTACAATTTTGTCATTTACATCATATCCGACCAAAAATGTTGGGCGGGATGTAAAATTTTAAAGTTCATATGCTCTCGAGTTAAAAAAAAAAAATTATTCAAATAATGTTTGCCATCTTATTTGCTGACACGTAATCAAAATGATGACTAAAAATTTGCTTGTCTAATTCAACTCTCACGCCCCGACCAGAGCCCGTTACGACCTATATTTCCAATAAAAAGAACAGCTGAAATCAAAGTTGATCATAATTCCCCTTTTTTTCTATTCAAGCTGTTGTCACTCAGTACTTCGACATCAAAGTCTGAACTTTGACCTTGACTGTTTCAGTTGACCTTGGCCAGATGGGCATTTAACCTTTCTATTCAGTTCGTCAATGTTGAATTTTATTAAATCGATAACGTAGTGAGATGATCACATAATTGGCAATAATTTGGCAATTCGCAGAAATTTTTTTCATATCTTGCAAACCTGATATTTAATCGAAATTTAAATTGACAGTGACCAATGTCCAGACTGAGTTTTTATATCAGATATTCAATCCCAATCTCATATACTACAAACCAGTATTTTCTTATTTTCATTAATTTACATGCTTCTATCAACTTATCAGAAAGTGGCGCATGTACCAGGGCAAATGAACAATCGGATGCATAGCACATTTTAATGGGTTGCAAATAGTTTTATCGTTAATAGCAAAATATTTACCCCCCCTAAATTTGGAAACCCCCCTTTTAAAATGAAAAGCAGGGAAGAACATTGTTTAGTTTTTAGTGCTCATTCGTTTGCATATTTGGTTTCTAACGTACTTCTAAATTTAATTAAAAGTCGCTAAATTTAGTTAAAAGTCATAAGAGAATACAAAGCAGCTTAATTTGTTTTCTTTATTATTTTTTGTAATAGAAATGAAGTGAAAATGAGTGAGAAATAGTTCAGTAAGTCAAAAAATATAACTTAAAAAAATAATATGAATAAAATTAAGACAAAGACAAAAATAATAATACGTGTTGAAAGCAGGCGTTGAAAGTGAAATGCAAACTTGAATATTCTTGACTTCTAAATTGATATTATTAAATGAAAATTAAATATAAAAAAGTTTACACCAATAGATGAAGCAAAATGTATAATAATATGATATATCTCAAATTATTTTTGAACATAATTTCCTTCGAGAGGTATAAGCACATAATCGAAAAAGAATTTTTAAAATAAATAGAAATATTTCTGACAACTATAAGATAGCTTTACAAACAAGGCTAATGAAGGTATGTGTTTCGGTACCTAATTTATACCTTGTTTACAGAATGCTTCGTTGACACGGTGACACAAAAATTGTTGAAAATCACGCAAATAACGAATAAAAATGATCGCAGACAGAAAATTACAGATGAGATAAAAGAATGGCGACAATAATAATTGGTCACAGTGATTATTCAATGAAAGTATGCGCAAGACAATTTATCCGACATAAATGCTCCGTGACTTCAAACTAACGCCGCAAATTATAACTGGAGATGTCACGACGTTGTTGACTTCGATGATTACTGTATTTGTTTCTTTATTCGAAAAATTCTGGATATTTCTTCTTCGTAAAATTGATGTTTTTCTGAAAAATGTAACAAATAATAATTTAATGTTTGGAATGTCGGCGTGATGTTTGTAATTTCATCGTTTGAGGAATCCCGCGGTGCGTTAAATTTTTTTAATAACGTTTACCGATGATATTATGAGGTTAACTGCTGAGAGGGGATTGCGAGTTACTCACAGAATAATCGCATTTGTAGAGATCATACAAAGACGTAATTGAATCATCGGTCGATACAACCATGTTGGGTTTTTTATTTCAAGGAAAATCATCGAGAAAAATTGTGAAATTTGATTAGAAAAGAAGAAATTCCATTTTGCCCAATTTCAAAATTTTCGAATTAGCTACAAGTGTAACTCAAAAAATCAAACTCTTGTTCGCTTGAAATCGTGTTCAAAACGTTATGTATGGTTTTTAAATGAGTATTATCTCTAAACCCATACTGTCAGAGAACCATGAATATCTTTCCAAATTTTTTCCAGGCCCGTAAAATTTAAAATAGTCTTCGATATACATATATATACTAGTCAAATTGCTTGATTTTTCAGATTTTTGTAGGGTTTTCAAATTTTAACTGATATTCCCAACAGGTAGCCTATTATTGTCGATAAGCAAATAAAATTTGTTGCCCAGAAATTTTAAACATATCGCTAAACGTGTGTGGTATAGCTTCATGTAATTATGGTTAAATGCACACAAAACAAAAAGAATTAGGGTCTATTTGACGGAATACTCCAGCTCTACACGTCGTCAAAGTAGGTTAATGTTTATGGATGGATTCCCATATTGAATATTCTTTGGTACAACAAAGATACTTTGTGGTAATTTCTTTAACTGATGATAAAGCACATATTCAAAGTATCAATGTACTGCTAAATGCTATAATTTGTATTGGCTGTCCATGTGGTTTAAGGACAGTACAAGCGGATTTTTTTTTCACAAAAATGTCAAATTTTAAATACGGTAGGATAACGTAACAATATTTAATAGGATTTCCGACAAATTTTCTTTCAGGCTATTGCAAGATTTTAAAAAGATTCTCATAAAAGTTTAAATCATGCCGACAATGCTAGGCTTGGCAATATTTAACCACAACAGCCTTTAATAATAACAGCTTGCCACACTAAAGCTGTTTGTAAATACCCAATGTAGGTCATGTTTCGATGACAATATTTTTTTATAAATACTATTTTTTAAATAATACTAACCTTTTTATTTATTTCCTTTTCTTTGAAGAAGTTGAAAATTTTGTATTTTTCTTGATTATTATTGCGCAAAAAATATCCTATATATTTTCCATGTAGGTAAAATACAGTTTTTCATTCATTTTTTCAAGTCAACTTTGGCGGCTTTTAGCTTTTTAATCAATCAGGTAATATCAGAAGGATGAAAGTTGTCATGGCATTGAAATATCCGGAACATGTTTTGAATGATGATAGTATAGTTTATCTGCAAAAATGTTTTACAACAGTTTTTCTGCATTTTTCACACCGCACGGTACAACACCATTGAAATTTACAATTGCATCTTTCAACGACGGTAACATCTTGACGTCGAAAGCCTCGCCCACAGCAAAGAAGTCCGCACCCATCGTCGCCTGACGAATTTTTATTGCATTCACGCCCTCTAGTGCCGGGAACGCCAGTTTTAGAATTACGTTTACAATAGTCGGGCGATGATTCTATAAATATAAGGTCCGTTAAAACTGGTTTCCCTCTTCCTGATTTTCGTGGGCGTATTTGTCCTCGTTTACTCATTCGCATCTCAATAGCGTTTACGTGAGCTTGTCTTAATTTGTCCCCGATCACACGAAAGTCGGGTACTTGAAACCAGCAAGTCTTTAAACTGCAGGATCCTGACACACCATGGCATCTACATGCAGGTCGTGTACCCCGAACCACGGCCTAAAAATGAAAAAAAAAAGGTCAGAATTTAGGTATTTTTACAATGCAATAAAGTCAAAATGTAGAAAGGAGCATACGTAATGATCGGAACTAAAATTCAGATTAAGATCTGAATTTGAATGAATGTGAGGGATTTAGATTAAATCAACTTTCATAATCAATACTTTCTACACAGCGTGTAGGCTTAAATCAATAAACAAGAGGCAAGTAAGACTGAAAAACAACACTTTTGACAAACAAAAAATATATGTACACTTTTTAAGGTAACTCACGACAAAGGTAGAGGGTCCTTTGGGGGTATTGCAGTTGATCAATTACTCTATGCCTACTTATAATAATTAATATGAAAAGGTATCGCAGATATATAGGTGTATATAATAATTTAGTCCTGGCATAAACCATGGCACGTACATATATTTCACATCTCTAATAATCCAATTTGAAATTACATATGCGCGCCGATAACAAGAATTTTCTCGATAAAATAGACTTTTATCGACTTATTTTATTTTTTAAGACGTGACGTCTGACTGAGCTGTGTAACATGGGCAACTGAAAATTTTTAAATGAATTCAGGGTGAAAATACTTTCATAAGGAAAACAAGCATACTTTTTAATATAAAAATTTAAAATTTAGATGAACGATTCGTCACACACATACAGTTTATTTGTAAATCGGTAAGTAATTGTCACTACTTTATTTTTCAACGACACATGTTTGTTTGTGTTCTGTAACTCGACAGTTTAATTTTGTCCATTTGTTTATTTTATTACAAGATGGATTCTTGAAAAATTATCTTTTAGCTCATATTATTGTAGTGATAGTTAATCTACGAAGGTACAATCAATAACTTCTCGCATTGAAAACGTGTTGATTAAAAAAAATTCGTCACTGATTATAATCTCGGTATGTAGAGGGGCCAGTTTTTTCATGCATTTTGTAAATTAAACTCTCTTTGAAATCGTTAATCTGTGACTTATATAATATAAGAATGTCAATTATACTCAAGAAACATTTATCTAAATCACTTCATAGCAAATATCGGTCTGGTGGATTCTATATTATTTACATTGTCGAAATTTTATGAATGGATATTAATATAATATACTGGATCGCAGGTGGATGAAAATATCTGTACATATTGACTTATGTCAAATCAAACGAGGAAAAGCTACGTCGGATGTTCAAACAAACGGAAACGAGTTCATAATTTATATCCGAGTGTTTTAACACTAGTTCATGTTAAACTAAATCACATGTATTAATGTGGTCATGATATTTCAGTAATTTGACTCAACTCGATTTTAATTTTGTGGAAGAAGTTTTTTAGAAACATAATTCGTCGTCGTAACATGTTAATGAGATTCAATCCCTATTTATTTACATCTGAGATTTATGTCTGACAACAGCAATGATGGGCCAAGTAACTGATTTTCAAGCCCGTGATGGCAATTCAGATGGTTCTGATTTTTGAACTTGGAGAAAATACAAAAATATAAGTATGACAAATCTTGCTTGTTAGTTGGCCATGGCAGCAGTACACAATCATATTGGACATAACAATAGTTGAATAATAAATTTGTGGGGCTCTAGTGGTTCCAGCCTTATACTTTGAGCCCCAATTCTCATTATGAAGACAAAAATTATTTTACAATTGTACCGAGTTCTGGTATTTGATTTTTTTGCGTGTCAAAACACATGTCGTTATAACCTCATGGTTATCACGTACACTTTGAACTTTGAATGATGATCTAACTTTGATTACAAAAGGAAAACTATTTGGCGACTAAAATTGGCTTAACGACAATATGAAAAGTTTCTGAAAAACTGTAGTTAATATTCGTTTTCTTAAAAAGTCAAATATTTACTTATTTTTGACTAATAAATTGGATGACGCGTTAAGTCAAACTATTCATAAATCTACCGAGGGTTTGACGAGGAAACGTAAAAAACACAAAATTCAGTGCAGGAATATGGCGCCATGCAGGTAGGGTTGTCAGTATTTGTACTGGGTCATTGTCCTAAAGGTTTAAACGTTTTTGACCCGCGTTAAGATACATTTATGCGAGTTGGGTCAAACGGAAGTGTGAAATCGGCTAAAATATTTCTCTAAACAATATTGAATGTCTTAGATTTGTTTCAGCAAATCATACATGTCAGTCTGACACAGATTATAAACAAACTTAACTTATTTCTGTTAAAAAAAACTTAATGTGAATAATTTTCATACTTTGAGATAAATTTTATCTCCAACAAATTGAAAACATTCTGATTTATTGCGGTAGTAACAAGATATATTTTTTGGGTAAATCGTTGCGATTCTCATTCAATATGAAATAGTATAAACCATTTTTGGCCACTGTTCCTATATATGTTTATCCGGATGTATATTTCGGGCGAAAAATTGCGACAGTCGTTAGCAGGTTCCAAAATTTGTTCTTTGATCTTAAAATCGTAAACATGTATGCGGTTTTTCTCCTGATACAACGTTTCTGTCTGGCTTAAGCTAATTCGACCTAATTCTTAGTGGATTAAACTTTCATAAGCAGTGAAGCAATGATAGTTTTGTCCCAAAAAATATCGAGCCTTAGAACGATGAAATATTAAAATTTGACAGTGATTGATCAGAAATTTAACTTTTTGGAGCATAGCAAACATGCAAAGAATCTCGTTAGTTAAAAAATTGATAAAACATTCAAAGCAGGAAAACAATTAGCAGAGAGCCGGGACATTTTATATCGGGCATTCAGTTGCTATAATATTGGGTCAAGCTTTCCCATTACCGTGTCATATTGCTTAAACTTACAAACACAAAAAAGAAAATTTAATTTACAGAAAACCTACCATTCTTCCAGCTTCATTGTTGTGCAAGTTCATTGCTTTTCTTGCTTTTGCTTTCTGTCCTCTAGGAGAGACATTGTCTCTTTCTCTCGCATCAATAAATTCTCTTGCAAATCCATAAGCATAATCGGTATCATCTCCACAGCCTCCCCATCTCTGTATATTATTATTCCACGTATTAGATAATGCTAGAATGGATGCTGGGTAATATGAAATAATGTAGACTATGTAGACAGATTTCTGGGCTGAGGATTTTTTTGAATTAGCTTACCCAATCGTTATGCAGCCCCGTTGGTCGTGGCTTCTTACTACAACCACACGACTTTAATTCGGCACTTTTACATCCTTTTGCAATGGAATGCACAACTCCAGCGGAGGCGATAGCGTATGTAAACGCAATTTCTTTGCTGCCTGAAATCAATGACAATGGTTTAAAATATATTTGGATTTGTTCGCTTTAGATATGATTTTTTTTGACAAACTTACTTAAATATTGCCAGAAATACCAGCAATAGGAAAAATTGTGACATCCGTCCAAATGACAACAAATTTCACACTTTGTGGAGGTTATATAACGTGATTCACTCCGAAGTCGAATTAATTTTCATTATCAGAAACATACGTAAGATACGTCATAAGTTTAATAGCGTAAAAAATACGTGATTCACTGAAAATGCTCCATCAAAATTAATTACGTAGTATAGATAGAGACAGGGGCATACTTATTTGTGGAACCTTCTTACGATAATAACAGGTGTCATTGGAAAAATAACTAAATTTTGATAAATGGAAAATGAGTCAATGGGAAATACAAAACACACCAAGTTTACAAAATACAAATTTTAGGGCATGAATGTCACGAAACCACAGCTCTAAACAACAAGAAGGACGCTCGATGTTGGGGCTTAGACAAGGTCAAGATGGTGTCTGTCTGTCGCTTGTTCGATTGGTATTTTATATTCTATTTTTTGCGTTTTTTTAAATGTTTTGTGGACATACCTATGTTAAGCACTTTGCCAAATACAGTACTGTCTTCAACAGTGGAACAATTCCATCGGTGTCCGCTGAATTGATGTTGACATTCCTGGATTCCACTTTCTGCTCCTTCACTGACAAACGACATGTGGTTGTGATATCTCTTGCAAAGGGCTTCTTGATTTCTAGACAAGCCCTTGAAATGCTCACATATTGAAGTTATTCCTTGTTCGAGCTTGTCAATATTTGGATCTGTGGCAACCGACCTAGAATGAAACAAAAAATTAAATTAATTAATAATTATTGAAAATATAAACACGATCGAGTGATAGGTACAAATCAAAATGATACAATTCATAAAATAGCCGATATCTCAGGAATTTTTGAAATTTGAAATTTAATAACCATTTATGAATACAGAAACATTCGTTGGTATAACAGAAAAGAGCGGAGTGTCTGCCAATGTGAGAAAGGAATTCACAACAATAACCATTATGTGATCATTCGTACCTCGCAGGGATTACAGAAACGAAATAAACTTCAAATTGGTATTGTTTATTAAACCAGGTACTGTATATCAATAGCAGCAAGATTCGATACGTAAAGATTTTTCAAAAACACGTGCCTTGCTTTCTTTGAAGTGCCTTATCCCTAAATGACTTCTCTAATAACAACGGCGTCGTATTACTTGCAGTACACACGAATAGTTTTATGAAATAGGGCTTATAAGTACTGTGTACATGTACATAATAATTTTGAAATGCTCAAACACATGACGTTTCAATTCTTAACTGTTGGCTTGTTTTTTCAGCTCCACTTTATTAAGTCTTTCCGCAAGACAATTTAATAGATATTGCTGTCTTGTAGACCAGGAAGTTTTTCGAATATGGGTGGTATAATTCCAAAATGACTACTTAAATAATCTGTACTTGACCGCCACGTCGTACCAAGATTTGTAGCGAATTACGCAAATGGGTGAATTTTGTGACTTTGTGACTGTCGAATCCACTTGAGAAAACCAATTATACGTCAGAAACATAATATTTCACCAAATACGGCATATAAACTTCGAGCCAAATTCAGTTCAAATTTATGCCTAAGATGTAGCAGACAACAATTGATTGAGTTAATAGTGCTTCAAGCTGGATATTTGTCTTAAATCCGACTTTGTGTTAAATAAAAAATAAACAAGATATGAAATAAGCTGTTCTGATCAAAGTTGTACGATCCGACATTGAAAGTTGTTTTTCAGTGTTGTGTATGTCACGATTAAGGATTATGTTATTAACGCCACAAGTATTTATATATGTCTTCATATGGGTTCACATATTCGTAGTCTTTGAAGTTTTTTTCAAAAATGATTAAATTACACGAAAACATTTTTGGTACAAAACTATGTTTTTTTTTATCGATAGAGTGTCTAATTGTGTACCTGAAAAATGAGTTTTATTTGAGAGGTATGAATTATTCCTGAAATGAACTAAAGTTTTTCTAGCCTCACGGAAGAAATTCCAATTTTGGGGGTTGCCGATATTCGGTGCAAGATAAATGAAGCTGTATCACCATGAACTAAGTAAAGCAACCCACAACATATGTCAGGGCAAGTCATCATTTTTGCATGTGAACTTTACAGTTCAGCAAACAGGAATGTGGATCTTGCTAAATACCTTGGTGCCCAATTATTCTAGGATATATAGGTTATTATAACAATACAATCAAGCTCGAGATGTTGGTAAACCAAAATAATAGACTATGATTTATTTACGTGTTAAACATGGGCGGGTAAAAATTATTATTGTGTACAGTAGTCTGATAGGGGCAAACGTCGTTTATTTCGTGCACTACCGTAAATGTTGTGGCAACATGAATCAACAAAAACAACGAAAATCGACTTTGACTGATATTATTTCTGGTGCCGTTAACTTCAATCTGATCAATTGACGACTAGATAGCGTGCGTTTATGCGCACGTGATCAAATTTTCGAGACGGTGAACCGTATAGCTTTGAAAATTAATGTCTGGATAAATTCACACCTGGCTACTTTCAAAAAAACTTTGATCTTTTGATTAAATTCAAAATTTTCATGTACGCTTGTAAAATTAGGAATAATATTTATAAACATGTGATGATTGGACTACTAACTTTTAATTAGGCTATAACATGATCCGTTTCATAATTCCATCTTTACCTTTATTAGGCATCCCATAGAACGTTTAGGACACTAATATTTTACTGAACTGAATCATGTCTATTCAACGGAACATACCAAATTAATTACCATTTGTTGTGGCGGACCACATGGTTGAAATAACGTATTAATTTGCAGTTTCAATTTTAAATCTTGTTAAAAATGACATTTTTCAGTAAAATTCTATACCCAAAAGCATTTTCGCATGGTTGGTGTTTTGGTTTTATGCTAATTGTCTTTTATTGGATATTTTCCAAAATGGTTAAGCAATAGGCCAACTTTAGAAATATTTGATGAAACACTTCGAGTGACTTATTAGAAAACATATTATTCAAAATATTTTGAAGCTATAAATTGTTCCACTCATTCAAAACATGTCTGTCGTTTTCATTTTATTGCAATAACAATTACCTTGGATGACGTCAGTACGCGACATTTGTTGGCTTACACGGAGAGAACTCGTAAAACAACCGAAGAATAAAGTACAACGTCCGGTCGGATTGAATTCCATATTCAGTCATTATTTAATTTAGATTTTCGACGGGCTTTTTTGTCTTCAAACTAAAATTGCCCTCGGAGATTGTTTCTCGCGTTATTTGATGTGATTGGTATGGGTCAATATTTGACTCAATTTTGACTATTTTGTCCAAAAGTGGGTTATTTACTCATTGTCTGCACGGACATAGCGTTGAATAAAGCTTTTGCAAAGCCTTTTTTACTCGACTATAAGCAGCATCCCTACATCGGCGTTGGTACGTTGGTTTTTAATAACTTTAATTTTACTGCGCAGTTAGCGTGGGAAAAACCAATTTAAAAACTGAAAATCTACAAAATGGGTAATGTAGTGTCCAGTTGATCAAGGCAATATTATACCCCATATCCCTCCCGTTTGACGTTATTTCCCGGAAACTAAATATTACTCCACGTATATAAGACCCAGTATTGGTTATGTATGATTCGTATAAATATCGATGACTACTTCTCGATAGGTTCGGATGCTACATTTACGTCATAAAGTGATAAAAATAACTTTTTGGAGAAACTTGACCGCACTATTCAGCTGGTTTCTGTGATTTGTTTTCCAAAAGTTATAATATAATGGACAAATTTCCTTCCTTACTTACCACCAATGTCCGTTGACTTGACTCCAACTCAGAGATAAAACCACAATAATCACCGGTAAGATTGATCGGTGTCTGCGGAAATCGGTATCCATTTTCTGGCAGAAGTTGTTTTTCGAATTCGACGTTTCAAATGTTGTTTCAAAATTTAAATTTAAAGCAAGGTACTAATGTAATACAACTGCAATAACATAGAAATTGGTAATATGCAACTCAACAATTTCGAAGTTAATATAAATGACTAACAAGACTGTTTGAATTTATTTGAAAACCAAAACGCATTCAAATTATAAAACTAATTATAAAAACTATTCTCAATATAAGGAAATGAATATATTTTGACTATTTGGTTTTCAATCTGAAAACCGTGACGCGACAACGATTTTGCGCATACTAAGCGAATCTCACCTCATGAAGATAGTTTTTACTCGAGAGCGATTTTTTCGTCTACCGCTTATATACCACAACAGTATTTGATCAAACAATTCGATTCTCCGGTAAGGCGATATCTATAGTTTGAAGATTGAATACAAACTGGTGCGGTTTAGTATGGACCACAAGTATTTCGTTTGAATCTTTTTCTATGGTTGGAAAAGCATAATTGTCGACCTAAAAGTAATATTTTCATTTTTATGAAGTATTTAAATATACATCTTAATGACAGTACATTGAAATAGTGTAATGGAGTGACATGTGAGTTGTGCTGTAGGAAAATACACTCAATACTGAAGCACCCACAATAAGCATGAGTGAGTCAGTCCATACAGGGTTTGTTATCAGCTATATGCACTCATGTTCAAAAAAGTACTGCGACTTTACATATCATGTACATTGTTTATTATATACTATAATGCTTATGAGAAACCGTTTTTGTTGACACCAAATATGTTCTTACGGCTGGTTTTTGCGTGCTGTTTTTGATGTGTGTTGTGGTTAACACGAGATATTTCTAATTTTTCTACTGAGTTCAAATTACGTTATATCAATCAGCATTACATGATTTTAACCACGCTTATGATCACAATTATCAAAATGCAATTTGATAAAAATTGCATGAGACTTTGATGCAAAAAAGAATAGCAATGGCAATAAATATTGCTCAATTCTACACTGGCATAATAGTTATACTAACAAAATAGAAAGAATGATTTATATTAGTAACAAATTATGGAGCTCACATTGCTGTTCATGTGTGTGCCGGAATTTAGTAAACCAAACAATGCTTCATCTCATTGTTCATAGGTTGTAACGGAAGACAATTGTGTACATTTAATTCGACACAATGCGCTTGCAAATTCCGAGAACTTATCGATAATTGCTAGTCTGCGAGTAGCATGTAATTACAAATAAAAGAAAGTCAAAATGATATAAAAACTGTAACATTGCGTATGGCGACTGCTTATTTTTGATACATTTTGTAAAAACACATATACATAATAAACTAAAGCTCCGTAAAACCGCTAAAAATTCAAGCGTATATAAAAAGCACGATTTTTTACATGCTTCACCCGAAAGGAATTTAGATTCGATCAATTTACAAGTATATACCCTGTACATTCCGGTATGTATTTGTATATGAAATGTACTGCAAATATTACCAGAAAAAAATTCACTTTAAATGCAACATTAAATAATATAAATATTGAATTGACTTGCTGTTTTTCCACAACACAGTTTTTAAATCGTCAAAGTATTTAGAGAATACTGATAACCCACTTAACGAACTTCAGTTATTTGTGATTCCGTCTGAAGTTGGTTCTCTTATATCGTATGGTATTATCTCCTTATCTGCTTCCTCCTTGCCATCATTAACAATTTTTTTTAGCTTGTCTATTAGCTCACTTATTGTAAAACTAACAAAACCTTCAGCAATCACCCACCTGTATCCTACTCCTACCAAACTATTTGACCAACTCGAAAGCAACTGACCTCGGTGAAAACCTTCAACGAAATGGGCGGGTGCGAATATTGCGATCGTCGAACACGTCTTCTGTCGCTGTTATCGGCACCTTTTCTGAATGAACCCTGTGGATCGCAAATATTTTACGATCTGCTACATTTATCTCTTATTGTATTGTATTCCAGGATGCAACTCCAATTTTTCTCACCTAAATAAAATTTCGTAACAACTGTGCTCATTTGTGTTGGTAAAGTCTTATCCGCCGTAAAATATGTTCTCAATCCATATTAAAACATTCCTAATGTTTAGACTCTTTTTTATAATCCAACCATCTTTGGCTTTTGGCGTTCTTTCCGGTCGCGGTCTTAGGTCCATTTATGACCGTTTTAAATTAAAATCTGAAGTCACGAAGCTATTCTCAATATTCTCATCTTCCGGTCTCAGTATGGATCCTCTAATCCAAAGATTTGTAAAGAGATTTTGAAGCCTGTGTGGGATGGCTTAACTTCGCCCTTAGTCGAATAAAAGGGCCAGTACGTAGCGACAAAAGATATCTCGGATATGTTTACTCTTGCGAGATCAACGCGGAGTGTGAGAGATTTTCTAGCAGGTGCGCTGTATTTGAATAACGGCCAATTTTTTCCCATTCTCGTTGCCAAATTATAAAGAAATTTAACGCGGTCTCATAAGCCACAAAATTTTCGTCTCTTTGGAGTATATTCAACTCTCTTGTTACTTCAGAAAAGATTTATAAACCTTACTACCATTTTACAGTATTCCAATCGTCCACATCCGCGACAAATTGGATTATTTGCGTTGTGATATGTTACTATCTAGTCTAACATTACGTTCTACCAATGTACATGTTTTATTATATAGCTATGTTCAGGTATAATATTGCACTATCGATCGTTTTATAGCCTGATTACAAAGCGATATCGTACGATACATTTATTTCATAATTGCAATGTTGGTGTAACATTCTCAATACCGTCTATGAGAAGCAGTTTTCTTCCAAGATCTCTGTTTTCAAGGTATATATACCTTAACTTGAGACCTTATCTAAACCAAACTAACCGCAGTCCTCGATCAAGGTGTAGTCGTTATTGACTGTTGTCATTAATTGAGATCAATGAGCGCGACGCAGAATTTGTGTTGCAAATACAGCAGCAACGTTGGTTCTCGTTGCATGGCATTTTAAACAGCTCAAATTCGTTTTTCCTAAAAAATGAAAACGATTAGTTTTCTCAAAAAATGATGTTTTTTTCTCTGCCGATCCTTATTTGAGTGAATAACTCAATCCTTATACACAGTGTACGTCAAAATTAAAATATGAAAAATTACTCAAAATAATATTCAATCAAAGTATGTTCTATATAAACTAAAAATTAATTAAAATGTTTGATGAAGTATCGCCCATAATTAGACGAGCATAAGAGAAAGTCTGCCCAGGAAATTTATTCTAATTGAATGATTGTATTTTGTCGGACTGAGATAATGCAGTAAAGACAATGAATTTTCCTATTTGGCATAGTTGTTTTAGGAGTTACTTTTTAAAAACGATCGGACTCATCATCTCATTTTATTAATTTTATATTTACCAAGTAAGAAATTTGGAAGAGAATTTCCTGATTTTCAAGTCAGTAGGATTTTTAGGAGTATCTCAAAGTCTATAGAACAAAATACGTCACAAAACTATGAAATATCTAGCCTATATATTGAATCTTTTCATGTTTGCAACCGAATCATTTTTTCATAAATATGTTTGCCGACGCTTCCATCGCACAAATATGGGTCATTTCCAGAACTCTTTAGCACCGCCTAGCGGTATCGTAAGACAGAAGAAATTTTGCATACAACAATTATTAGTTTATTGCATATAAATCTCATACATATTTTGGAAATATTAATATTTAATTAAGGTAAACATTAATATGACGAACATCGTTGCAAAATATTGATACTATAATGAAATGTTGAAGAGTTTTGTTATTAATTCTCAAAGTATTGAAAATATTTCAAAAATGATATAATAATAAAAATGAATTTAAAATAACTCAATAACCATTATCCATTTCTGAGAATTTGAGATTGGTGTTGCCGATTCTGGTCTAGACCACACGTTATCACGTCCTGTTGATATCAACAACTAATGTGGCAAGTCAATTTCCACCACAAACATGCTTTTGGCGGGTACGGAGACCACCATGTACTGTAAAAAGTGACGATTAAGTAATCCCTATTCCGCAGTGAAATTCTTTTGGAAGGTATATTTCCTACATTTGATTCAGTTAGCGATATAAACAGACTATAAAGTTGTGATGTTTGGTCCAAAATAACTCGTTTCAATAACAATTACCGTGTTTATATTAAGAAATGTTAGGCTGACCCAATTTTTTTTTTAATTTTTAGGTACGTGTCACTCAATCGCATTTGCTAGAAGTGTCTATTTATGTGAGATACTGTGTGACCAATATAGATATGATTAATGGGATAAAATGATGAAATACCAATATTTCATAAACTCGTGGCACAGCGCGTGTCAAAAAAGCTTGATTATGGTAGAAAGGGTATTTGCAAGTGGATTACCGCTGCACGCGAACATGTTGTTGTGAGGAAAATTTTCAGGAGAGGCCGAACCACAACATGGTTACAACGGGTGAGAAAAATTGCCCAATATGCCGCATAAAAAGTTAATCTCATTTCACTTTATGTTAATGGAGGCTGAATAGCACACGAATTGGTCTATTGAATGTCCTAACCTAAAACCCATGACCACTTTACTAAATTACAAAACAAGACTTTATTCTATTTTTTGAGTTGTTGGTTAGAACTAGTGTTTCTATCTGCTATTGTTTTAACGATGCAATCGACTCGTTACAACACTTTGACTATGTATGTATATATACAGAACGTTTAAATTAGTGAATATCGTCTACTTTAGAGTACTTTATGCTGGCGATGTAGATAAAAGATCTTGATGGAAGCATATTTCTTTTAACCTGGAGGGGGCCTATAATTGGCATTTTTCTATCGCCAAAGTTTTTGATAATGTTTTAAACTAATTTGTGAATTATATACTAATGAAAAAATCATACAGTTCAATTGAATTGCTTTGAAATTCGAGTTAAATAGAAAATTTTTAAATTTCCTCAACTCAGTATTTACTTTTGATTGCTTTTTGAACAACTTGAGAATTAGACCGTAAAATTTTCAAATACCGGGAATATTTTGTTGCTCACGCTAACGACGTTGACAAAACAGAAGCCGCCAAACATCACAAAAGAACAGACTCGGATGTGAACATTTTTCCGAACTGCGTTAATGATGGTTAGTCAGTGTGCAACAATTGAATGGAAGTGAGTCTTTGGTGAACACTTGAAATGTGTTTTGGTTATTTGCTTTTGTTACGTCAGATAACATTCTTCGATGACCTTCCGTTTCCGATCACGTGCTTCAAAATAAAATTGGAAACTTATAACGTGACCTGTCGCCGGTACATCACTTGTTTGGGTTACGCTTTATATGTCTTAAGCAAGGCCCTCATAACCAGATTTTGTCCATAAAATCTTTCAAGCTACGGTTACAATACCTACATAAATGTTAATTAGTAAATCATGCACTTCAGTCAACAGAGCCGTGTATTATGATTTTTAATCTATGATATTTTAAGACCAAAATAAGTTTAAATCAAATGGTGTTGAGCCACATTGCAATCTTTTTCCTAAGCGACATCTATAATATAATTTAATTCAGATAATGGCTTCTATCATTTATTCAGATTATAAATTTGACTATTGTAAAATATTTGACTGTTCGGAAGATTGTACTTAATCTCAAGGATTTATATAAAATACTTTGTGGGATTATTTCCCTGGTTTTGCTTGAATGCACATTCCTTTTGAGTAAAACTCAAGATATTAAACTAGTATTGCCAAAATTTACTTTACTAAAGGTATTCTATGGTATTCTAAAGGTATTCTAACTATGTCTTTATGTTAACTATTATTTGATTCGTGATTCTCATCAATCCACTCACCACAATTACAGTGGAACACTATATAATTTACTGGTATTGGTAACAGCATGAAAATCAACCTATTTCTACTTAACATTTTTAAAACCATAATTGCGTGTGAGTATTCGCGTGAGAACCTCTCCCTTATCAATATATTGGGTGGGGTTAGTACCCACGTCTAATCCCACAATCAGACTATTACAGATAAATCCTAATGCAACAGACTCGCCATCTTAATCGCGTGATTTATATGTGATGAATTACCCTATTTCGTCATTCATTTCTGGTTATACACGACACAAAACTAGGAAGAAAAACAATCAGCTGTGGGTTCGTAACAAGGCCTGTTCTTTCGTCATTGAGTGAGTTTCTGTTGTAATGATACGCGACAATATAATATCAGTGTTTGCGTGACTTTTTATCCCTAAATATTGTTTTTCATCTTACAAAATTGGTGGGCCTATTGATCTAGTCCTCTGCTATTCTAAGCTAATTAAGTTAAGACGATACACACAAAGCTTTCAAGTACAATTGATCCAATCAAAATTTGATTTGAATACATTCACAGTTCTTTGCAATAAACTTTGTAATTTTTGGTGATTAATACTTTTTTTTCAATTTGTGGGTTTGACATCAGTTTACCGTTGTCCTGCTGTAATTATTTTACCTAGCTGATTTAGAACCAGTTGAATTGCGCTTAAAATGTAAATTATCAAGCTTATATTGTATGAAATGGTAATTTATTAATTAATAAATCGCGATTAGCAGAAAGCTATCCACAAATGTGGTTTGCTCTCAAAACATATAGACCTCTGTAGAGGTCTGGTAATGTTATTCAATCATCAAGATAAATCATTATTATGACGGTGTTCAATATAATGCCAAAATTTCAGCGGCATTTTAGTACGTCAAAATAAATATGTAGGTAATTATGCATACTTTATATATATATTCAAATCTACAAATAGAATATTTGGAGTTGACATATATATTATCACAATATAATCTGAGGATTTTTACTATATTACTAAAAATAAAGAGCAATTCTTAAAATACTGTTTCTAAATACAGAATGTTTTTTCAGATTGACTGAGTTTTGATATTTTGACTAAGTTTGCAACCTATGAGTAGACACTAATTAAGCTTTGACTGTAAACCTATTTAAGGAGGAAATTATTACGCGAGTTTAAAATGAGTGCATTTGCCCATTTATGGACAACAACTTTGTTGATTCAATACTTATCTTCAATTTTCTTAGTTATATTTAAATATAATTATCAATTAATCTTTAAAGAAGAAGTTTATGCTTGCGCCCCGAACGACTCGTTTTTTATTTGAGCTTCTCCTAGGCGGGATATCAGTGTCGGTCATCTTCAAATTTAAATAACAGTTCGACTTGATTGGACATTGCAAATCTTTCTTGAGATATTTCATGTTGTTATTCGACGAGCCTGTACCTTTACACTTGATTGTCTGTTCAAATCATACCTATTGTTTGAATGGAAACCTTTCTTTCATAACTGATTACGTAATGTACAAGTGCATAAAATCATTTGACAAACTATGGATCATAATTTGTTTGCAAAACACAAGTACTGAAAAATGATAGGATATTAAATTGTAAATTATACTTCGATAGACGTCATCTAATGTGTAATCCCTAATTGACTAAATACAAGATTAGCATGGTATATTGCTAACTAAATTTTACAAACATACAACCTAGAAAGCCAAAATACAATTGTTAAAGACAAAATAACGCTTTTTTTTGACTGGTATACAACAAGCAAACCCCACATTGTTTACCAAAAATGATGTATAATGGCAAAAAGAGAATATATTCAACGGCAATTTGAATAAAATTGTTAATACACTCATGAGAATTTGCTTAAATCTATGCTGATATTCAAGGATATATATTCTCATAAAACCCAAGTTATACGATACTCACAACATGTACTTAACTGCTTAAGTGGGGTCGATTCATCTATACAACGTTCGATTGTTTCTTCTTTATTTTTTGCAATAAAAATATATTAGGCAAGAATCCCCAACAAACTAAAAAAATATTGGTAGACCCATTTCTTGACTAACCGGACTTTAACACAGGTGGTCCTAATTTACCACAAGAAAATAAGCCTTACACAATATTTCAGAATTATGACGTAGAGGTAATCTCGATTGGTAAGATTCATTTTTGCTGACTTGATTCACAGGCTATAGATCTCTTTTACAGCTCTGAGCAACTTATTGCTTAAGTGTAAAAAAAGGTGGAAGAAATCGGACACGTTGGAATTGAATTAAAAACAAAACTGGAATATTTAAACGCAATAGTTTGATTCAAATTTTTATGTATCTTATCAAGAGCGAACATGCGGATCATTTCATCGAATTGTAGATGCACGATGTAAATAAGCTTAACTCAGTTGCCGTTTTTGAATTGTTTTTTTTACGTTGTTTCTATAGTAACTGATTTGGGATTCGCCGTTCCATATAAGTCATGTAGTTCGCAGTTATAAATAAACGTATACTTCAATGGTGCATGTGTAATTATGACAAAAATAACTGCATAACTGCAAGGGTGTGTTTCTTATATATTTGAGGTGTAAGCCAAGCAAGGCTTTTAGAATGGAATTCAGTCCGAATTGGGATTATTATTATACTTACGAACTTTAAAAAATATAAAATAAATGACACACTGTCGAGACCGTAAATATTATTTAAAAAATTAAGTTATTTCAACTCAGAACATCTTTTAGGGCTTCAGATGAAAAATTTGTGAATACGGACCGAGATCGAGGTTTAGGTGTGATCGAGGTCAATGGGCATTTTTGTAAATTTGGTTTATATGATTAAAAAACTAAAGAGTCTTGTGTGCTTTATAATTTTAAACATGGTTTTCTATTGAAACAGACTTACGCAAAACATCTATTATTATCATTGTCGGCAACGCCTACTGCAATATTAACATGGAAAATTTGCAAATTTTGCTGGTTGGTTTCCCACATGTATTGAAAATTATAAGATAACAAAATATATGAGCAATGTGGTTGGCCTAGTCTCCCCAAAATTAGTACCGCTCCTTTAATCTTCTCAAAGTGCACACATCTAAACCTCCGAATTAGGGTGTGGTAAACTACAAGGAAATAACCATGAGACGACCATCGGTGCAAATTACGTGGTGATAATTTTTTTCATCAGAATATTTATATTGTTGTTTATGAACACTCTGTGAAAATATCAAATAACCAACGGCGGACGATAGTGTTTTAAATGATTGTGTAAATGTATTTCGATGTCACAAAAAGTGCATAAGAGATTCGCTGTTTCACAAACTTGCTTTTTCAGTTATTGTGAAATCTGATTATTATTTCTGATAATAAAGTGTGGTCAAAATGGCCATTTCTTTGGGGAAATTTGTCTAAAACATGGTCACCATCGAAGTTGTGTTGCTATGCTATAAAAACTATTGCCAGCCGTAATGGCGAGAATATATGCCCGTATAAGTATTTCAAATCATTGAGGTCAGAAAAAAAAACTATACTAATGTATTCGTAATACGTAATAATGCGGTTTGGGTTTTGTGAACAACGGGTCTTTATTCGAGATATGGAACATTGCCATTGGTTACTTAGCTTATGTGTTATACCAGACCGCTAACAGGATCTCAATGATGGGGGGATTTACTTATTTTGGCATCCAAAACATGTTAATGTTCTTACATAAAACACTCCCACATGTATTATGTGGTTTAGTGTCAAACGATAACCTCACCTCACTGACTATATTTTTGAAGAAGAAAGATTTCCGACTACCCGGAACCTGTCTTTTTTTACTAATTTCGGCTCCCTAATAGACCATAAATAAATGGAACTGAGCCAAATGGCATTTCCCCCTTTCCGTGAAGTAAATATGCTCTACAAGAAAACGCATTTATTGCACACTTAAATAATAAAACAAAAAATAATATAAGTAAAAAATGATTATAAATTTTATTGTGCTTTTTGGTGTTTTCTTTGATTTGATCTGGATTGTATTTGTCACAAACGGCAGCGTTGCCAACCTGAAAAAAAATAATTTGGTATTAATGATTTTTTTTAAATACAGTGGTTTCTTTTCTTTTGACACCAATTTAAATTTATTACTATTTTCACAAGACTAAAAATGTTATTATCTGCAAAATATAGACTAAAAAAGAACAAATAAAGAGGGCTTAAAATAGTGCAACGCGTCTCAAAAAATAAAGACACCTACTTCTTAAATTTATCTGCTTCTTTCTTGTTTAAGTTATTCGGATAATCGATGCACGGCAATATTGTGGTAGATGACAACGCCCTTTAACAGTGGTGTGCTTTTTTATTTTCTAATTTGAAGTTGTTATTCAATAAGATGGAACATGTCTTTCAAAACGGTGTATAGCAACTTTAGTTGCAAAAATGTTTGATCACTACTTTATGACATTTTTGACATTTGACAGAACAACACCACTGGAATTTGCATTTGCACAATTCCACAACATCTACTGGTTTGCTTCTATAACCACGTCCACAGCAGAGAAGACCACACCCATTGTTTCCCGATGAGTCTTTTTCGCAAACTCGATCTCTTGTGCCCGGTACTCCGGTCTTTAAATTTTCTTTACAATAGTCAGGTGATGATTCTATATAAACGAGGCTTGTTGAAGTTGGTTTACCGTGCTCCAAGTTACGTGGACGAATTTGTCCTTTTTTATTCATTCGCATTTCGATAGCAATTCCGTGTGCCTGCCGCAGATTCTGACCAATTTGTCGAAAATCTGGAACTTGGAACCAACAAGTCTTGAGGCTGCATGATCCTGATACGCCATGGCATTTACATGCTGGTCGTGTCCCTCTAACGATGGCCTGTTTGTGAAAACAATTGCGGTATTAACTAGTAGTTTTAATTTAGTACTGTACAAATTGTTTTGTTATCATATACTCAATCATTGTTAAAGAGAATATCGCGGCTCGTTCTGATGTCTAAAGGTTTCACTACTTGAAACATATAAAATCACTTTTAATGTTCAGCCAGTAACAACAAAATCATACGCCTACTTTTTGTTTGGCTTACACCATTCAGATGGGCGTAATAACAGGGATAGGCAAGGGTTTAAGATTTCATTAAAACAACATAAAACAGATGTAGAACATTGTTACAATATGTTATTGTGTCCGATACATTTTACAACCAGTTTTAAGTGCCGTCAATCATTTCCTGTCTGTCTGTCACGATTTTTTAAAATCGTGACATGGAACTACGACAGAAACATTTTTCTTAATTTTAGGGCGTTTCTCAAATAATTTACCGCGTCGATTCTCATTTGTATATAGTTACTTTCGGATTTTCTTCTCAGTTATCGCAAACTAACGAGAGCGACATAATCATAACAATTTATTTAACGTGAGGTTATTTGTAGACTCCAAAACAACTTGATCCTATTCATAGAGTGTAACGATCGACATGACAGGCAATATCATTCAGATAATTTACCTAAATGATTGTTATGGACAACAAGAGCAGCTCAGTTGCTTGTTGTATTTTTTAAAAATGAAAAAAAAACATACTGGGTTGAGGCAGAAGTAATGTCCGCTGTTCAAAATGAGATATTCTGTCTAAATAACGTAAAGAAATGATTAACCAATAACCAATTGATCGGATGAAGTATGTATAGAAGGCAATCAGATAAGAACTCACCATTCTTCCAGCTTCATTGTTATGTAAATTCATTGCTTTTCTTGCCTTTTCTTTCTGTCCTCTAGGAGAGAGGTTATCTCGTTCTCTCGCATCAATGAATTCTCTTGCAAATCCATAGGCATAATCAGTATCATCTCCACAGCCTCCCCAGTTCTAAAAACAGTGGAATCAAGTTAATTTTGCTACTATTTTTCATTTTTTTTTCTTCTTGTAGAAAACATTTAAAATTATTGATTTTCATCATAAACTTACCCAGTCCTGGTGTAAACCGATAGGTCGTTTCTTTCTGCTGCATCCACATGTCGACAAAGTGTCTCTTTTACAAGCTTTGGCAACCGAGTGTACAACTCCAGCAGAAGCTATAGCGTATGTAAAGGCAATCTCTTTACTTCCTGAAAATGTAAAAAATGCGTCAGTTTTTTGTTGAATATCAAATGGAACATTACTTTGACGGATATCATATTGAATCAATATCACATTCATAGAAGATTCTGTATCAATGGAGTACCTTCCAGTTAGCGAAAATAAAAGACTAAAATTACCGATATTGAGCACTCTTCCAAACACCGAACTATCTTCAACAGTAGAACAATTCCATCGATGACCACTGAACTGGTGTTGACATTCCTTGATTCCATTTTCAGCTCCTTCACTTACAAACGACATGTGGTTGTAATATCTCTTGCATAAAGTCTTTTGATTTCTTGAAAGACCTTCGATGCGATCGCAAATTGGAACGTTTCTACTGCTGATCTTCCCAACATCACCTTCGTTCGCCACTGCCCTGAAAAATTGTGGTGTAAACCATTTATCCTCATGCCACCAAAGCAAATAAAAGTACATAATTAGTAGTAAGTCAAATTCAAAGTTAGAATAAGAAATTTCATCTGAAATTATCAATTAGTTGCAATACCTACTCTAGAGTACATTGTGTGACTATATAAATTATTATAAAACTTATCTGATTTACTTCGAGCTGGACAGATAAGTTGTTTCAAGCCTGTATTGCCTTATAATGCATGTAGATTTTCATTCGTTATATCAGAATGATGGATGTTGTGTTATTATCAGTGAGCAAATAGTTTTAGGGGTGAATTTTTTTGGCAATATTTCAATAATGAGAGTGTGTAATTGATGTTATATAAATGGCTTTCCAAAACGAAATAACCATACACACAGTTATTCACACTATGATAACATCAGGTAATTATTCTTCTAACCGGGTAATTGAATTACATAAATAAGCAAGAAATGACCTCCACGCAGTACATAAAAATTAGAATGGATAACACCAAAGCTTCACCGAACTAACCATCATTGATTATATGCGATTCTATCATGATATGGAACCAGAATTTATTGTTGTTTTAAGCTCGATAAGATATAATTTCTATTAATTGTCGAATTAAATGCAAAATCAAAGATAGGCCGAAGATAAAATGTTTATACTGCAAAATGTATCTACGTAGATATAGCATATAGATTGGTAAATGTTGCTTTTTACATAAACTACCTTGAAATTCAAGTTATCTTGCTGATTTTTGAGACTATATTTTACATATGTGTGCTATTTCCACTTTCTCCGTTTAAGCCTTCGATAAATTCTAAAACATGTTTGCTCGCTAGAGTGTGTTTTTAGTAAACAAATTAAAATGTCGTGGACTTGGTCCTGGAAAGCCAAATCAAGAAAAATTTCTGGTCAACGCTCTCACTAATCCCTTTAAGCCGCTGGTCGGCATTGCGCACGCAAGAAACGTTATTGAATTCCTCAAGTTTAGCTTACACCAAAAATAATTTTTGAACGTCTTATTCAATTTAAATAAGTGCCGTTTCAATTTTCACGCCGAAATGTTTTGATACAAATGAGAATAGTGTCACGAATATGCTTTATGCAGCTGCTTATGAGAAAATTGTAACCATGTCAGCATTATTTGTAGTTTATATCCGGTATATGTTGTTGATATTGTATGAAATTCGAAAATAATTATTATTAAAGATTCGACATTTTATTGAAAAAATTCTAAGACAATCTGAAGATAAAAATATGAAAATATCGCCAGGTTTGAGTTTTTCTGAGTTAGTTTTGTCTTTGTCAGTAATATTATATTCTCATCACACTGTATCTACTGGAAGTTAATGAGGGTTTTATTTATAAGAAGATCTGGGTAATCATATAAATGTAGTTTAAATGTATAAACTGATTTTAGAAATCTTCATCTTGTTACTATGCACTGCCGTTTCGGTGTGTTTAACATCAATATTGAGTTCAATGTAATCTTCTTTAAATAGAAGTTTATGTAAATGAGATTCTAACCGCGAGATCTTATGCGCTGGATTAATGGATTAATATGTTTATATTCCTATTAAACAAACGCAGAAATGTTCTTATTGAGGAAGTTTATGAAATTGTTTACCTAGGTGAAAATTTAGAGAATATATATATAGTATGTAGTATTAACAGCTTACCACCAATGGCCTTGTGCAGGTATAATACACAACATAAGAACGAATAACCCTTTAGGCAAAATTTGAAATTGAACACGGTGCTGAGGATTCATTATTTCAGCAAAATAATTCTCCTTAAATTTCGGTGTAAAATAATACTATAAGTTGAGCACTGTAAACCAAAAAGTTAAAATTGTTTTTCCATGTAATTGTAACTTTATAAACTATTACTAGAATCATTAAAACAATAAATGCCTAATCAAAGTAGGACTTGCAACAGAGATATTATAAAATAAATTATTTTAGCAACTTGAATATTTCAACTTACAAATGCGGGCAAAAAATATACATAAAATATGTGCAAGATGTTTTATAAGCGGTGATGAATTGAGAAACAATTTCATGATATATAATTCAATTCCAAAGCAATTAAACTTCTGCCTCCAAGATGTCATATTGAATATACACTTTTATATATTTTCGTAAATTCTTTGAAATAGGTATTACAATTTATTCTATGTCTACTGTTCATACATACCGGCTACTTGGAAATGATTCACCCGAAAGTTTAAACTATACAAATAATTTTTGAAATTTTATAACGTGAATAACTAGCGTGTCCGCTAACTAAACTATGATATAACGTGTCCTACTGATCCGCGTATGCTATCTACTGAGGCATTTATACCATACAAATAAAAATATATCTAGAGACAACATTGTTCTATTTGCTTCCATATTGATTCATAGTAAACTGCTTTGCTGTGCGACCTTCTCGACCTCCGTCCTATTCATATGATTATTTAAGCTCGGTTCAACTGCTTAAAATACTTCTTAAACTCTCTTTTCTGCTTTTTACGTTGTAACTTTTTTCTCTCTTCGATAAAAATAGCTTTTAAGGCGGCTATTGTGGTTGATCTCGATTGCCATTATCACAGAGATATTGCTTGCCTTTCTCTCCCGTTTTTATTTTATTGTTAATTGCGAGTACTACGCCAATGATACATCCTCGGCCGAATATAAACGATTTTCATCGTGTAAAGGCACGCGACATTGTATAAATTCACCTGTAATTGGATTGCTATTGTATTCACAATAGGAGGTGATACTTAGCTTCACTTAGCGAGCGCGTGAATTCAACGAAAGTTAGACGTTTCGTTAAGTGTAATTAGTATTTATGGCAGTACAAACGTATTTTTTTAATTTAATTGGAAGTTTGCTTTGTTCGTAGTAATTAGGAGCATCTGTACAAGATTGAGCAAATTTTGTAGCGACAATAAATTTCAAGGATAGAAATACCACGTAGAATTTTTTTTTCTTGTTCTTGTTGCTTTCTGAAAAATACATAACGACAAATTGGGTAATATTTGAACAACCTTTACATTTTTAGTCTCCTTTTTTCAATCTAAAAAACTCTTCAATCGATTCTGAACGCATGGTGACCTAGTTCTATCCTATAGTTTCATTTGAAATATAATAAGATTGACAATATTTATAGTGAATTGCAAAGTCGATCTCCGAATCAAAATGTTTATAATTGAACAAATATGATAAAACTGAACTATGATGTAGCAATATCATGTTACCAACTTTGCGATTATTTCACACAATTTTATACCTGCTTTGCCGTTAAAGCAAACCATATTAAAAATAGATAACTACATATTGAATTACCTTACTTGATAGACAGATTTAATGAAGGATGACCAAATATTGTTCTTCTAGCTTGGAGTATTGAATTATTTTGTTGTCAACTATTATGAATGGCAACAGTTTAGTTGAATTTTTGCAAACTATGATATTTTGTATTGCATGCAACTCTTGACCCACAAAGCATTTGATGCGCATAATAATAAACTCAAACAAATAAACCCAAAAACATAAATCCCCAAAAAATTTAATATTTTGTCAATTTACAGAAAACTGATCTTTATGAAACTGTAATATACGAAATGTAAATTTTTAATAAATATCTCGATTAATAGTTGTTATGTGTTATCATAACTTTTGGTTTCATTATATGTTACGTGAAATGATTTGGTAACTGCAGTACAGTAATATATAGCAAGAAAATTTTACCTTAACATATCCTACGATAGAAATGGAGGTTCACTCTGAATTCCAATACGTCGGTATGTTATATAAAACACCAAAAAGTTGACTCTCCGTGAAGTTCCAGTTAAAGGAACCTATCATAGAACATGACACAATGAAACATGAAAAGTGCTTTTTGAATGGAGTTATTAACCTCATATTTTTGTTGTCGAATATTAGTAATACATCAAATATTATTATAAATATGTTATGATTATGTTGATAAAATTGACCATACTGGTCTGCTATGTAATTTCGCAGAACTGAACAAAACAACCGAAGCAATATAACTACAAACACTATTAATTAGCCATATATGCGCCTCAGATGTTTTATCATCGATGTTAATTGCCGGTTGAGAAAATAAAATATTTGTGCAACAGATTGCCAGCAATTACGTAGCCAGCGATTCCGACCTTTTTTATCGTCGGAAGCAATTTGCAATTTGTTGTTTGATCGGAATCGGTGAATTTTTACGACTTTTAATGATATCATCATTAGATAGATAGAAATTAATGATCGGGTTATCAGGAACTTTAGTTATATTTTGAAAACGCTTTCAATGTTATTTGGGCATGCACATTTCAGACACATTATTCAATCATATGTACAAGAGATATATAGATAATGAAAAAAGTAAACTAGTAGAAAATAAATTTACAGATATAGGCCGTTCGTGACAATAGCATTTGATTTTCTTACTGTCTGTTTCATATTTCTATGAAGATATCATTGCTACGAGAACCTTTCATATTCACCTCATATCGGGAACCGTTCATATTCACCTTATATCGCGCAAAACTTAAAATTTGACGGCGGACCGGTATCAGATTCTGTTCGTAAGCTGTTGTATACCATACATGAATAGTTTCATTGAATAACAGTGAATTGATGGAAATTTTGTCAAGTAACAAAATCATAAGTTCCGAAATACAATATAACTAACATATCATCTAATAATATTAGATACTCACTATCTAAAATCAACCATTCCATGTGAAACCATATTTATACAAACCCCAATAACACAAAATATTAAAAATATAGCTTTTCATCTTTAGAGAACAAAGAACTTTATCTAACTATCTACCCAAAGACAAATACTTAGTGTTTCATAATTTATTGGAACCTCTTAATAAATTATTCCCGATACCATATTGTAAAAAAATTGCTAAACGCTGTCATAACACATAAACGTCTTCAACAGGTAACAGAACATTTGTAAGACAAAAATTCGACGCACAAAATTCACGAAGGTAGCAAAAGTGGTTTATGTTTTTGTTGCGCTATTACTGTTGAGTTCACATCAATGCGTTGGCTTTTAAAAATGTTTGCAAAAGAATTCAATTCAAGTGAAAATATTTTCGATCTGTATTGTTTGATATTACGATAAAAAATAAGCCATTTTTAGTTTGGTTCTTTCTGATTAATTGATTTTTCTTTGAAGATCTTACTCAAGCATTGGTAGCAAATGGACTATTTTTGCCAAAGTTTGTTTATCTGAGTCTACGGAGTTAAGTTTCATTCAAAATCATATTGTGACTCCAAATGCTGGCGAAAATGTATTAATTATAATATTTTTGCAATTTGTATTTTCAAGTATCAAGAATGCCATTTTTAAACAATGATAAATCGGCCATGCATACCGTTATTAACTTATGTTATACGTTTCCCATGCTTGTCACATTACACATTTCAAAGACACAATCCGGTATGGGAAATAAACAATAGTACGTTTTTTGTTTGGTGTTGAAACAAGACTCGTGTGATCAGAAATACCTAACATTTTTGTAAACATAAAACGTATTCTGATCTGACAAAAATGTCCTTTTTGTCAACACAACTTCTCACTGTCTCACCGACATTTCACTCGACATTTTTTCCCTTTTCAAGCTATAATATTTACCCCAATACTATGTTTCTCCCCGTGACGCAGCGGACCAAGATCTTCAACACAAACTCATTGTTGTGATTGAAAACATTGCAAGATTTTTGCAGTAACGTTTTCGATTTCTGCTTGTTGCTGGTAAACTCGTACCCTGTCTAGGTTTTTATCGCCGGTGCATAAAATTGCTATCATCTAAAGTTCTTCTTCGTAGATAGATATACTTTTTTTATATACAATATTTAACAATAGATGGGTCAGTGCGTGGATAATCGTTGGACGACATATATATAATAGAGTTTGCCCGTTTATTTGCTTTTATTTCCTTATAACCTAATAATTCGATCGTAAGAGACTATGATAGTTCATCGTGTGTTCATGAGTTTGTTATTCTGGTTGGAGAAGGGTGTGGACACTAAGATGTTTTTACCTAATTGTTGTTGTTCTCATTTCGGACAATGGTGTTGGACTTTATTAAATATCTACTTTCTCTGAAAAAATGGACCAGTCGATTTTAACACTTCAGAACCTGAAAATGGGGAAAATCATTTAAAATCTTTTACATCATCAATTGGGCCTGATCTCAATATTTCGCTCTAAATTTTGTTGTTTTTCGTAATACACGTTTCCAGTCCCCAATTCTTTAAACGCTTAGCTTAATTTTTGTTATATTAGTCACTTGAATTTTGTGTCAATATATTTGTGTATTGTTTTCTTGTCAAACAGAATTTTTTTCGTCTCACATAAAAGTAATTTGTTACAATTTTGATATGACATGAGTTAAAATTGACTTCAACATTGGATGATATTTTTCGTATTTTGTATTCTTTTTTTTATTTTTTATTCTTTTTAGAAAATTCATGTCCGTTTGGTTTGAGAAAAGTTTTAAGAAATCGTTTTTGTGTAAGAAAGTGATTAATCATAATTCTAATAAGTATAGTAATAAATTTTCTTCCGCTGTTTTGACGTATTTCAAACACCATTTCCTGCCGCAAGTGTAAATTAAGCTGTTTTGAATACAGATTAAGATGCGGATGTTTTCAACACTCTGGGTCACAAAAATCATTCTCCACTAAAAACATTATGGAGTGTTGAATACACCTGTCGTTTACCACCAACGCAATTTCAATGCATTAGACGTATGATGAATTGCTAAAAGCAATGAAAGCTTTCAGAAAATAGTGTTTTAATGTTATAAAGTCAATGGCCCACCTCTTATTAAAGGTTGTAGTTCACCCAAGATTACATTGTGTGTGTTCAATTCATTCACATGTATGCAACACGTATATTACCACACGTTTCAGGTATCTGATTTAGAGAATAGTACAACATTAAACCTATTGAATAAAAATCCCAATAAAGTATAACCCAGAAATTACTCATGGCTTAAAATATACATATTCTGATGATAGAAATAGCTAAGTAATAATACTAAGAAATATTTTTTTGAAATCTGCATTGTATGTCATAACAAAATATAATCGTATATATAATTGTTCTTTTCTAATGATATAATGATATACTAAATAATTGTTATCTACCAAAGTGATACACGTTCATCCTTCATCTAATTATTTTATGCATACAGGCTGTTTACTACTGGAAACAAATAAAAATCAGAATGATGAATATAAACTTTAATTCTATGCTTTCTCATCATAAAATCCCTCAACATGAATATGAAGCTAGCCATTGTATGTTAGCTAAGTACACTTGACAGATTTTTCTCATTGATCATCGTGGGGTCAGAAAGGTGGTTCGACCACCTGCTTTCACGCCAATTATTTTATCTCGTTCCCACAACCTTCCAAAGTATCAAATATGCAAAACAATCTGGAACAAGATAACAACTGTAAAAATGGTATTTCAATCAATAATTACCTGATAACTGATAGGAAATAAACGTGTGCCACATTGTTAACAATGGCATTCCAATATCAATGACTACTGCACATCCCCCTCAGCTTCATCATTATATTGAGAGTATATTGAATTACAATAAAAACAAAATATTTCCTCAATGGCTAATCATGATGACAATTATATTTGCATTAGACGATTATAAATCATCTAACTTTAAGAAGTTGAGGCAAAATGTTATGATTTTACTCTCAAAACATAATTAGAAATCATTTTTGTTAACTCAAGAACCAAACTTTTGACGTAACAATTTTTTCTTTCAAGGTTTCGTCAACTAAACGTATTTCGATCATCCTATATTTATTATTCGATCACGTAGATAGCTGTAGAACATTATTGAGAAAAAATAACTTTGATATATTATTGATATGTGAATGTACCCCGTACCGACCGCCGATATTGCAAAGTATTCGTAATATATCAAAAATATATATTCTCATTTCAGAAACATGCGCGTTTTTGTTAGCGGATTGCCTAATCTTTTAATTTAAACAAGGCACAATTTACTCAAACAGCGAAGATATAAATTTTGAAAACTTTCAAGCAAGCATCATATTTCATTACGTCATTCGTTATTGATGGAGCTGATGACTTAACCTAAAAGACAACCCAGAAGGTAATTCTAGATCGAATTAGAATGAATGAAAGACTTCCGTTATTTGCATAGTATGTTTAGTTCCCAAATCGCTTATTACTCGCTCAGTCAGTGGAAATTTACTGATAATTGCCTCTCCCTGATTAGAATTATGAGTGACCGTTTGGTACTGCGTCCTACAAACTCAAACAAATTTATATCTGATTTGATATAACAATATTAAAAAAATAGAATTCGCGTAAGAGAGTCTATTTTAGTATTGTATCTCACAAATCAACCACGAAAAGCAATATAAGATCAATTTATCGAGCATTCGGCAATCAGCTTAATCTGACAAATAAATATTTGTAACATTAACTGTATAAAATGCAAAACGCCTTAGCAGTATTGAAATATTTTTTGGTCTTATATTGATATGTTTATTGGACACGTATTGTACATATATATAAATGAAAATATATTATTATAAAAACAAGAGCAACAAACAAATATGTGGACACGGAGGGCAAAACTAAATATTTTATCATCAATTCCCAGAATAATATGCGGTATCTTATCAGTAGTTGTATCGGAAGACGAACAACTCGGCTACACCACACGGACAACTCGATAAAACGGACAGATCTCAGACAGCTCGACTACCCAGGAAAACGGTGACGGTACAGGTACTGTCGTAGCTTTTCCACGTCCTGTGTGACGATAATCCATTCTTCGTGATTCAGTTTTAACGTGAATTGAAATACTAAATGATCCGAGTCATTTCTTTATTACCAGATCAGGTACTGCAGTCTACCGTTCCCCATAGCAAATTCCAACTTTCGCTAAGCATGAGATCCACCGACATCGCAGCGCACAAGGTCCGCTGATATGCATTCGCGGACAACTACTGGGTCAATTGCTTTGAACTTTATAGTGATCAAAGATTGTATTTTGCGCTAGAAGTCTGTTACTTTTATATATTATAAAAAATTTCAGTGGGCCCAATAGGATTCGTCTTTTGTGCGCGATGACGTCATTCAAGAATTGCGTATCTTGTGGCGGTTCCACTTTCGCGTTAGTCGTGAAGACAGGTAATCTACTCTGGTAGATTGCATGCTCGTATTACTTCGTTTTGGTCTTCGTGCCCATATAGCTCAGCCTCGCTCTCTTGTTAATTTTTTGCGTATCATAATGCACACTAGCTAACACAAATAATGGTTTATGTGAGTATGTTATATTGACAACATCTCTTGAAAGTTGGAAGCACACAAAATTCGCATTTCGAGTTTGACGCACTTACGTTATGTTCATTGCAAATGTAATCCCTACAGACAATGGTCAATGTACATAAATAGTAGAGATGCACTGGATTTATTCATTTAAGTAATTACTAATGACTCTGTCGGCCCACATATATTTCGACGCATATATAGGTATTAAAAATTATTTTGAGACAACAAATGATGTCAGATGATAAACATCTACATCAACATCTGAATAGACATATATAACAATTAACACACCACAAAACTTACATAAAATATTTTAAATAATAGAAGTTACACGTGAACACTTGACAGCGCGCTCATAGTTAACATATATTTCATCACAGTTTATATACATGCATGACGCTGAACCAAAATAGAAAACGAAATGATTGATTATTTACTGTCTCCATATGGCCACCTTGTGATGATGTTTTTTTGATCCTCAACGGTATCTTATCGAGAAGCGTATCCAGGATTTTAGGTGAATGAAATGGTGGACAGGCATAGCATACAATTTTAGGTACTTATCCTTTAAAGAGATCAAATTCGATAAGACGGCGTTGCAATATTATAAACATTGACATCTTAACCGAGTCTTATTAGCCAATGAACGAGTCCACGACTAGAACACTATTCGGGTTTTAAGCCAATGTATTAAAGACCGTTCCCTTTGCATTTAACAAACGTTGAGTTTATTGATTAAATTTATTCATCAAACAAGAAAAATATTCAACTTCTACCCTTGGCTATAATTTTAATTCAAAAGAAGAGGGCACCCAAGAAAAAAACATCCACGAAGATTTAATGTTTTTTGCTGAACGATACATGTCATCAATATGTATTTTTCTATGAAAATGTTATCACTATTCAACAGGAGATTCATCAGTAACATTTTGCTTATCATCCACATCTAAGTATCGTACTCCATTATCTGCCTTCTGACGTTTGTACTCTGGTGGTACCAAGCAAACAGCCGTTGTTGATATCAGCAGGAACCCTGAAACGGCGACTGTCGCAATAGGGACACCAGCGTTCATCATAACCATTCTCACAATGGTTGTGAAAATAAAAACAGCTAAATTTGAAAAAGAAGTGTAAAGAGACATCAGAAGTAATTTGTTTGATGGGTATGTTGTTTCGACAAGTAATTCGATTGATGCTGGTAGAAAACCTCCTCCGCTGAAGTTCATTATTGAGTACAATATATAGAGACTTGGAAGATTTCGATGAGAATGAGCAAAAAACAATCCAATGCAAGATGTCGTCATGATCAATTGCCCTGAAATATTAGATAATAAATAATTTCACACTGACTAAATTCAAACAGGAGTACAGCCTGTACAATCTACACAAAAATCTCTTGTCTGATCATTCACTAGAGTTTACTATCTCAGAAAGTCACGTTCCGGTAAGACCTTCGCTGAGCACGAAATTTGTCGACAAGACTGTGGGCTTGCCTGCGGAGTGGCGCACGAAATAGCAAAACTTGGGAACAATATCAGGCTCCATGAGACCCAGATGGAAGTTGAAAAAGTAGCAATGATCATCTAACGGATTTTGCCCTTTCAATATAATGGTTGATCGAGATATACCATATACGTATGTAATAATCAAGTGCATCCATAAACGCCACAAACTAATTTGCAAGGTTGGTCCAAATGTGGGCTTTTTTCTATTTTATGTTCACGAATACTGTGCAGAATTCAATATTGATTCTGCTATATTCTTGTACAAATCGTATATATATATATATATATATATATATATATATATATATATATATAGAAATTCAAATAGTGTAATTTTTTGTAATATGGTTTCTATAACTGGGTGATCTCCAATAGCGTTCGCAAATTAGCATAATGTTTATGTACCACGTGTAGCATTAGTCGTCATAGTCAAATAAAGAGCGCATGAAAAGCATCGAATGTTATCGATAGAAAATGATTTACAGATCTTACAAACCTGTTATTATTGTAAGCTTGAATGCCTTAAATTTATCCAATAGTTTTCCTGTTACGATGACTCCAATAATTTGTCCAAAAGTTGCTATGAGAACAATTTTCCCTGGCACCGTGTTTTTTAAATCAGGAAATGTCATTAAAACACAAGATGGCAGTAAAAACACTGAATAAGCCAACTGAGATTTTTGAAACGACGATGCCAAAGTCATCAAGATGAATGATCTTTGACGTGTAATGTTCCACATTTCCGATATACGACTAGTGTTCACTTTATGTTTTTTATTGAAATTTTTTGTCAACATTTCTTCTTGAGCTCGACTCGGTGGTGATGGAGGTTGATTTTTGCAATTAATAATGGTAAGTACTAAGCAAATCAACGAAGATGCAATGAACGTTCCAAAGGTTGAACAGAAAAGCGTAGATACTTCACCAGTCTGATCCCAATTAGTGTCGTTTCCACTGGTAACATTATTCAAATGCAGTTTTGGAATTGCATGAGGATAAATAAGAGAGGAAGCGACACTTCCCAAAGTAAGTGTTACGACGGGAAGAGAAAATGCCATTGCTGTTTCACTTGAAGGAAACCAATTGGCAGCTAACAATACTTGCGTTGTAAACATAGTTCCAAATGTACTAGACGTGATGACTCTCCCCAAAGCAGCAACGTAGAACAAGTCTCTGTAAATTGTAGATATATATAATGTTTATTAACGGTGCGGACACTAAAATGCAATTCAAAACGTGGCCTCTGATCTAAAGAAAACTATGGCAAAGATACCAATGAAACTCAAGTATTATTTTTGACAAAAGATCAAAATAAATTTCGGTTAATAACCACAGTAACACGAGTCAACATTTGCAACACCCAGTAGGACCATTATTTATACTGATGAAATATTCAGCTTGTGAATTTGTCAATTGAATACTCACCTTGAAATAAATCCAATTGCACAAATGAACGAACCACTCAGAAGAGCTAAAATTAAACCCAGCATAAGAGAACGTAGAGAAAGTATGTCACTGAAGTAAGCAGACACTAATCCAACTGGAAATCCAAGTGCAGATCCTATGATCGCCAACAAATCCGTGTAATAAGGTGTCACTCTATAGAAATGTGCGACAATGCCGTTTAGAAGAATAAACCCACTCGAAGAATATATTTGAGAAAATGATACCACACAAAGAATGGAAAGAAGTATCCATCGTTGAGGATATGCTGCGTACTCCATATTGCAAAAGTCTTTTTGTTCTGACATCTCCAGTCGGATAGAATGAATATGCGAGACATTGTATGCTAGTTTGTTTTGCAAACGACATTATACGTGCCCCAATCGACGAATTGCTTTTCCTTTGAAAGTGTATTGCCGTCATGTTTTTTGCTTGAGCACAGAATTGCAAATCGATATAATGAAGTGAAGCAGGGCTTATACAGCGATACATTGTCAAGTGAAATACACGACATGACATGTAAAATTAAATTTTGTCAATTGGTATGCTCATATAACAATAATTCGCACAAAATATATACGCTACGGCTACGCCAATGCAGTAAATATTCTGTTGGAAGAATCGTACGTTATGGTTGTCATTTTTAGATTACCTTTTCCACAAGCCACACATGCGGATTTTGTTATCAGGTTAATCGACTGTTAAATGTACAAAATGTTTCCACAAAAATAGCTTTACTTACAAAGGTCTATTGATCAATTAATTTCATCATACGACTATAGCTTATAGAAATCAGAGGGGAACGTGAGGGAAATTGGAACCTAATTTAAATATATATCAAAATTCTTACCACAACCATAAAAAACATTCCAGTGAAAGGCAATCTTCAAAATCATTGTAGGCACAGGAATTAACAGTCCCGTAAATGAAAAAGTAAAAACATTTACCCCAAGACAGTTCTAAGGTTAAAGAGGTAACGAGGTAAATCATTACAGCCAAAGCTTTGAGCATCCTGTAGTGTAGTGGGAAGCCGATACCACAAGCTTTCTCGAGTAGAACATGCGATAAGATAAAATTTAGCCAATGTCAGAGTTTCTTCATTCAAAGTTTTTTGCGAGAAATCGTGAGTCTTGGGATTTCATATACGTTTTGATATCACAGAGTCAAAAGTATGAAGGAGAGTTAAATCATAATTTGCTCGTATCGGAGGTGTAATTAAACATTTTATTGCTATATTGGTTCATAGCGACAACTAGCGATGACGATGAATTATAATAAAACCGCTATATTGACGAAAAAGTATGGGAAGTCTGTCATTGAAATGACAATAAAGAACCCTATTTCCGCTTTTTTAAAGTATAAAAGATAGACAAAAGAGAAGGCACCAACGTAAGCATAGGCAGCGGAAATGAACCTCGGTTCAATGTATAGAGGATATATACCACGTTTAATATATTGCAGTAAATCAGTCCCGTTGCACTTTAACTTGAGAGAATGTGGATAGTGTCCGTTGTATATATAAAAGTTTTTAAAGGTCCGTTTAATTTCTACAAAACTCTTTTATTAATAGCCCGGAATCTATATAAACGAAAACGTATCGAACGCGCCACTCTCAGCCCCTTTATCCACAAAGAAGACACACGCATATGTCAGCTTTTTTATACACTTGGCAAAGAACAGCGGTTTTTCTAAATGAATAAAACACAATTGATTAACTTAAGTCACAAAGCATATATCGACAACAAAAGGCTAATTTCTTACCAAACGTTTTTCGATCCGGGTGGCTAATACAATTACAATATATATATAACAGATGAGTAAACAGTCCACAATACGGACAATTATCTGCCGGCTTTTTTACATGTCAAATACGTGATGCGAAAATGACTGGAAGAAAAACGCAGAACCAGACAACAGATAAAATTATCAATTTACGCTACAAGCAAAAGGAAAAAGGGTAATAATGGGTCTGCAATGATTGGTTACAAGGCAGCGCACGATGCACTGCATACAGAGGCAAAATGTACGATAAAATTGTAAACAACGTACGTTTACAACGTAACATACCCCCACCCAAATATATGACCCAGGAAATATATTCTAACAAATTAAACGTTGTAAATGAAACATTAATTCGATCCACTATTTTTGGTATTCTAGAAATAGACACAGTTTAGTAATGGGTCGTCTGACAACATTTGTGCCGGTTTTCACCAACACTCGAGTCCATGTTTGTCTGGGAAGGTATTTATAACCCTCCCAACAGACCATAGACCGCGAGGAATTGATTCATCAACTAACAGAAACATATCGTCGACTTTCGTCCATTTTGATCTTTGTGTTATTGTTGGCAGGTACTCTTTTATCCATCGACGCCAGAACTAAACTGCTAGATATTGTACCGGCACCATCGCTGTCGAACGTAGCAATCACACTTTGTGAATACACCAGGTGATACATTTGGTGACGATCCAACAAGCCTGTATAATATTTCAAAGCCATATTCTTCAAGCTACAGTCTGACAGTGTATTCAGGTATTAAAGCAGTAATAGAGTGATGGTTTAACATCACCCTTTCTTCCAGTCTCTTGTTCCAAGTATCAGTATATAGACCTGTAGACGGATAGATGTAGTCTTGGTCTGCGATCGTCACGAAGCGTTTGTTGATATTTTTCCCTTATTTTATTTCAGTAATTAGATACAAAAATTTCAAAGTCAGAAGGCCTATTTCTGTAAAGAGGGCATATTGTATTTCTATTCCCAGATTCCTGCATTTATCAGTTTACTGCAGTACCCTGGTACCAAAAAATGGAGACTTATTGGAAATACGAATCAAGTCCAGGCTGTGTTAAGTATCCAAAGACATAACACTGTAACATGAATGTACTGACGTACGCTGGTCTAACCAACCTTGTACTGGTATAACTGCAGAACTGTATACCATACAGGTATAGCTGAATAGAATAATTTGCTACGGTAGATCTTGACTAGAATCACATTAATATAACAATACATTAATATTCAGAACTAAACAACACATCACCAACACTGACATTACTGAATCCAAGCTGCATTACCACACAAAGATACTGCTAACTCGGAAATAACAAGAGCAACTTAGATATAACTGGCGTGGACTGACGTACATAATATCGCCTTATCAAAGTCCAAAAGTCTGGAATTTGTCAATCGAACCGAACAATTAGGGAGTAAAGCAACAAAGTAACGGCGCGTTATAATTTACTCGTTTTAAATATACCGTCTGATTGGCTGGTCTCCCTTACCAGTGTGCGCGCGCAACATCGACTAACGCCACGCCTCCAATCACGGTAATTATTATCGACATTTTTCGGTGAATCGGGTTATCAACACCATTTTTTAAATTTTTACCCTTAAAATGAAGGTAAAATTGACCGAACATTTCTTAGAGTGTATGAAATTGCAGTATGTGGGGTTTACCTCTTCTATTACGTAACAATAGATCCCTACGTAACGGAAAGTAAACAATATAGAACGGTAAAATGAATTTGATTCATATATACATCATTTGCAATAATGAGAAACAATAAAACATTTGGAATAAATGAAATCGCCTTCGGGACCGATAGCTTAGCGATTAAAGCCGTCATTGTTATGCAATCATCCACAAATCGGGCCTTACGATCAGAATGTGCATTGATATGCAAACGCGTTGATTCGGGGAAAAAAAATAAAAAATAATTCCCCGAAAATATACCATGACTGAAATTTAAAAATGATTTTTATATAAGCGCCTCCCTTTTAAAAAAAGGCTTTTTTTTACCTATCTCCGTGGAAGTTCGTCGTATCAATTTTGCTGGGTCGTCGCAAAAGTTCGTGATGGTGTTATAATAAAATATTTCAATTCTGAAAATTTGGTTTTCTGTAGATAAAGATTATTTTTCCTTGGTTCAAAAAGCGTTGCGCACTCCCATCCCTTTTGCAATTTCGTATTTATAAATATAAAAGCAGGCTTTTCTACCATGGCCCATTAAATGTGATTTTACTGACTGTCCTTAGGTTTTGTTTGTTCGTTTATATGAAACTCATTGCAAAAAAGGACTTTTATTGAAATGTATTAATGCGTATTTTCACGGAAAGTAGTAACTTGAGCATATTTTTAAGGGCGTCACAATACAATGAAGTTTGAGAACCACTGATTCGATAGCAAGAAATTTTTTGCAAGTTTTAAATGGCGGGTATTCAGCAGGTATTTTGTATGAAAACGTGTTATTGAATAAGTAAATGGAAATCAGTATTCATATTTTGTATATTAAAAAATCTCGTTATTCCCTACATCCCCCAAAAATAAGCCCAATCGTTATTTTGGAAAGAAAATTGAAGACACTGTCTTATTTTCGGGGAAACACGGTGTGGTGATGTATTCATTCGGAATCGTAAAATTTTTGTTTTGGGCTATTTTTAATAATTGTATTTCGAATGAAGAGTCTGAGAAAGTGCAATAGATATATAAAATTGGTGTTCTCTTTGCGGCTCCTAAAATTCGTTTCGCGGCCCCTAGTTTGGGAAGCCCTGGACTATACATTGCATGTAAATCGATACAGCACCCTACAGGCCTACAGTGTCAATTGGTAGCTATTCCAGCATTAGCTATATGTAATACAGTCTTGACATAGACAAAAACCCAATTATTACTCTTTGCTACGGTGAACTTCACCTACTTCAAATTAAAACTCGACTATTTTTATTGATTGATAACACACATATTTCCAGATTACTTCCATTTATTTGAAAGACAAAGAGTTAGACAAAACAGCTAAAATCAAAACCGACGATTTATATTTGTTATTAACTATCTATATTATTCTATACTATATATTTGTTAACGTATCTAAAGTATTTAAATGATTAAACAAGATGGGTTTGGCAAATTAATATTATTAATATTTTCAAAAAAAGTTTCTTTAGTCTTTTGTCTTTACTCCATTTTGTCACTCTCTATTCAAAATCTTCCATGTTCGCTGCTTTTGCGAAGGCGAGGAATTCGTCTGAAACGGTATTATAGTTTAATGATACTTTCTAAAAAGTTATGTTGAATATTATACTAGATTGACTGATGAATAAGTAGAAAAATAATACAACCAAAAATTTATAAAAAATAGAGAAAATGTCCATCACATAAAGGTCAGTTAATTGACTTATTTATATATAAATCTTCAAAAGTTTGAAATCGTTAGAATATCTGTAGATATTTTTTAAATATCTGTCAAGATAAATATTGTCTAGAGAAGGAATGCTTTAAAATTGGCTATTTTCTATGTTTGTTTAATTTTTCTGGGATTTAATCTAAAAACATACCGTCGTCCATTTCTCTGATCATTTGAATTGCATCAAACATTTGACTGACTTCAGCATCGTCCTGGAAAAATATGAATGCATTGTTTAATTGCGAATGTAACTAATATGATATAGTTTTACAGTTGAAAACTTCTAATTGTAAAAATAAATGCATGGATTATCAATCGTCTGAGTATTTAAAAAATCAACGACACTAAATAATATTTTAATTAATTTCAAATATTTGAATGTATCCAAACAATTTGACGCAAATGTGAAATCTCGATTTTTTCTCGATATTTGCATTGTCCCTTTTATAGAATTCCGTATTCTAGTTCGGGAACTTCTTCATTAAAAATCTATCTGGATTTTCTTTAATCGCTTCATCAAATTTTAACACAGGAAGGAATTATGGAAGGATAATGTGATGCGTAATGA